CCAGCTTTTTTCTTTTTGCTTATGTGGTGCTGAGGAATCGAACCCAGGGCCTCATGCATGCAAGGCAAGCACTCTACCACTGAGCCACCTTCCCAGTCCAAATTTTAAATTATTTCTTTTAAAGAAAACTACCTGCTTTCTAAAGTTTCTGTTCATCTTTTTCCACAATCATTTGGATTGTATGAATAAATATAAAACCAATTTGATAAGGATGAGTCAAAGTGACAGACAACTGTGTACTTTAAATGAATGCACATTGTAATTTGGATAAATCCCATCCACTGAATTATGACTATCATAATTTTCTACCTATCAAATCAGGTTCAGTTCACAGTCGCAAGGAATTTATTTTTATCATGTCTGCAAAATAAAGCATTTCTAGTCTTCCTTTCACCATAATAATTTAATATTGATTTTTACTGAGGTAAAAGTAGTTTTACCATTAAAATTTTTATAATTGAAAGCACAAGTATCTAAATTCTAGCTCAAACTGTTTAGATAAAAAGATAGGAGTAAAAATTATAAAATTTAGGAAGTTTCAGATTCGATTTAGAAGTGATATTTTTTGCCAGAGCTCTTGATTAGCATGCGCAAGACCCCTGCATGCAATCTTTAGTACTGCAAAAAAAAAAAGGTAGACACTTTCCCCCAGATGCACCTAACAATGAGGAAAATCTTTTACTTCTATAAAAGACTCATATGACCTGCAAACAAGAAGCAAGAATGAAGACAGCATTTCCTGAGGCCTTGAAATTAAGTTTCTTTTGTATTCATTTATAATTTTAAATAATAATAATAAAATTAGATCAAGGATATTCAATGCAACAAATGCCCACAAAATACCTTTGGGATAAATCAAACCAAAGGAACACAGAGAATGTTTCAATATAACTTAATTCCAGGGTTAATTGAAATGAAAGCTATTTTGTGCCAGAATTAGTAGAATGATTTTACAGTGAAGGTCAAATAGGCTGAAGTGAAGATGTTCTTAACAAACAGCAAAAGATTTTTGGTTTTGCTTTGAAAGAAACAGCTGATAAAAAGTTCTCCAAACTTACTGATTTTTTGTTTTCCTTTTTTTCTTTTACTGTAGCTTTATTCAGTAGGGAGTGGCAAGTTGCCTACAGAACAGAGATGAGCACAAACAAGTCACAGCACCAACTACATACAGCAACGAAAACAATGTTGGCTTGTACATAAATTACACAGTAGAATGTAACACAAATGGAATTAACAAAAATCAGAAATCAACTGAATTTGAGGGATGAATTTTAATTCCAAGTTTTAAGTTTTATTATATTTTAAAGCCAAACACTCAATAAGTAGCAAGAAATGTTGCGACTCAATCATGTCTACTATTTCTGGCTATAAATTACAGAAAAGCTTTTCCCAAGTAAATTTGAAGACATACAATATTTACATTTTAATAAATTCCTAGCATTTAATAAATTTTACATGAAATGTTCATTAAGAGATCACATATGAAAACCACTTTGTGTCTACATGTTATTTTCCTCTGATATGTAAAAGATACTTCTCTGTGTATCCTTCAATTGACTTAAAGTATCTGGCATTTAAGATACTACTCTCTAAAATAAAAATTACATGGCTAAATACAGTAGATAAATTTAGAGATTCAAAATTAAAATTTTCTCTCTCTACAAGAGATTACTCTTAACATTTCACATATTTTTTTAATGTTGTCGACATTAGATGTTCTGCAATACTGGGGAGAAGAATGTTATCAGCTCAACTAGAAAAAAAGGCATTAATTAATGTTAAAGTTAGGGAACTGCAGAGATAATTAGAGAAAAAACACAAGCCTGCTTAAAAGATAAGCCTACTTTTCACTTATTAAAGCTATCAGAATGTATCTCCCCCTCCCAAAAATGCACTCATCATAACCTACAGATGTATTCATTTAATATCTCAAAGCTCCTTATAAGAGTTTTTCAAAAAAAATATTAAAGACTTTGAACTGGACTATACCATACAGAATGTTTTTGGGTTTTTTTGTACCAGTCCTAGGGCTTCAACTCAGGGCCTAGGTGCTTTTCTGGAGCTTTTTTGCTCAAGGCTACTGCTCTATCCATTGAGTCACAGCTCCACTTTTGCCTTTTCTGGTGCTTAATTGGAGCCAAGAGTTTCATGGATTTTCTTGCCTGGGCTAGCTTTGAACCATGATATTCAGATCTCAGCTTCCTGAGTATCTGCACAACTCACTTGTGCAGAGCCAGAATGCTATTTAACTATTTAAAAAAATCAAACAAGAACCATTTAATCTATATAATTTATATGCATCCAACACCATGACCCTAATAACATGAGCTTAAAAGTTAGTTTAACACCCACCCATGTAATTATGTGTAACCTAAATGCCAAACACCCTTCTAGACACTGAAAGATAAATGATTCAAATTTTAGTAACCATGCAAATATGACATTATATATATTTTTTTTTCAACAGTGTACAATCATAATTTATAGCCTTAAAATTCTGTGCAAATCACTTCAGTTTGAAGAAGCAGATTTACTGGGGAAAGATGACATTCAGACTCTTTTGTCTCAGAGTTCTCTCACCATTACCATAAAAAAAAATCCATTCCAGAAATATTTTTTTCTTTATTCCAAACTATTACCAGTGGATACAAATACACATAAAAATAACCTAATAAATCTGACACACATTCACATTTAATTATTCCTGTAAGACTTTAACCCAGTCCACTAAATAAAAAAGGCATACAACAAAGCAAGTTAAGCATGATTCAAAAAGATGTAGAGGCCAAAACATAACTTAAGTAAAAAGAGCTAAAACTCAGCCAAGTTTATTACCTAATAAAACTCATTTAGTTTATTGTTAGAACCCCAAAAAGCAAGAGCCATGTTTCCCAAAAGGAGAGGGAAGATCACTATCCCTCCCAATAGAACATAAAAGTACAAAGGTACCATTATGTTATTGCTAGGTCAAAAGGGCAGGTAAATGCCAAACACAGAAGATGAATACAAACAAAATAGAAAACCAAAAAGAAAAAGTTTGGAACAAGACTCAATGAAAAAATATATTTAGATCATTTTCCCCTATCTTTTTCTTTCACTGGAAAATGTAGAATTCCTAATTATTTCTCGTTTATTAAAAACAAAACTTTATGATGGGAGGAAGGGAATAAGAAGGCAAAAGGGAACAGCTTACACTAAGAAAAAGCAAAGCAATGTACATATCACCCGATTTGGAAGAAATTGTTGTACTATCAAAGTTCATAAAATTCACAAACTTTATAGACCATGATAATGACAATTGGCCTTATGAAGGTTAAAATGTGTTTGTGACTTTAAGTATCACTATCCTACAACACTGTGAAATTTGTGTAATCAATCTCAATTTAAAAATTATTTTAAAAAAACAAAACTTTATAGGACACCTTTGTTCCACAATAGTCTATTCTCCACCTGTGTTAAAAGCAACAGAATGACAGCATTTAAATGATGTATTTAAAGAGAATAATTTCCTGTATAATTTCAATATGACAATTCAAGTGTTAAGGCAATATAGGTTATTTCATTATGAAGTACTCAAGAAATAAAACATAACAAGTGTTTAGTAAGCTACTAATCATCAACTGACTATTTTCACTATTTGGGCTCTCCTTTACTCACTATGAAAACTAACAAGAACTTTGTTCAATTTGTTAAGAAAGAATGAGGAAATTTATTCCTTCATTAAATATTTCCTAAGTATTTAATAAGTGTCAAGACTTGTTCCTTTTACATATTATCACTATCATGGTCTCCAACTGGTATCTAATTTGATATTTCACTTAGGACAAAAACCACAAGAATTTCTACTCAAATCTACTAAGACACATATAATCAGGTACTCACAGTCCTCATTTAACCAACTGAAGTCCAAGCAACTATCATTTTACAAATCTATTTCCTCTCTGAAAGCAGTTATAAAAGGCCAATTTATGGTGCAGACAATTTTTAATACATGCTACTTTTTGTCTGCTTAGCCTCGTAAATTGTTTCATATTATAACTAACCCATTCTCTAACCTCAGATCTAACTAGGTGAATAAATTATGTGGGGTTTACTCGGCTTTTTGAAAAGGCGGTAAAGTCATGACTAAATTATGAGATTGAATGCTAAGTATCATCTATGTATATTGTGAAACATTTTCTTTTTATAGTATAGCAGAAACATCTTCTAAAATAGCAGTAGGGAAAAAAAAATCACACAGAGCAATCTCAAACAGCTTTTTAAATGGTGACTGCATTGTCTCTTAGCAACTGCAACTATGTGCTAAAAAAAAAAAAAAGATGGGGATGACTTTGCAGAAAGATAGACAAGGCTTTTGCTAACCTTGAAAGTTCTTTCCCTATGCCCACCCTTATCCCAAACACCAGACCAAATATTATTTCTTCCTTCTTGGAAAGCTAATGTGGCTCTGTAGGCCCTCCTGCATAAGAAATTAACCAACACAGGAGACACTATTAAAGAATACAGACCTACTTCCCTCAATAAGAAGAAAATGACTCTAGACCCATGAACTCAGGAGCATGATTTCCAGTGATAGTCACAGAAAATCAAATGACTTGGTCTAGATGAGAATGCACCCTAACTTATAAGTAGCAATCTACATAAAATAAACCAACCAGTTTGTCTTAAGAAACATGACACAATTGCATTTTAATAAAGAAAACAGAATTACTGATCAAATAATTTACAATTCAAAGGCAAGGTCATGTGTCATGTGTGAAACACTCTTTAATTCGGGTAAAAGAGAACAATAAAAAATTCTTTAATAGTCTCCTTTCAGCCATACCCATCATATTCAATAATGAATTTTGAGCATACTGTCAATGCAAATGTAGTTTTTCAAGTGCTATCTAAAAGTAATTTAAGTGCTTCTGAAGAAAAACTGAACTGTCTTTCAATGCTAAATCTGAAAATAATTCCTAATATATTATTTATCCAATTGACTCAGTATGACAGTCTACTACCTACTATCAACAGCTAAATCTTTCTTTGTTAAGGTTCTCTTTCAATTTAGCTTTAGATTAATAATGGCAGTTCCTAACTTAAGCATACCTGATATAAACAGTGGCACACACTTCGGAGCTGAGGGGGAAATTCTGAGGAGGAGCTGATAATGGCATGAAAGAACTTTTCAGTCATCTGTAGGAGATTCCGCTGATTTTCCTCCAGGATCTCTGATGGTTCTAATCTACAGAGGCAAGGAAAGGTAAATACAAAACATTAATTTCTTCTACTTGAAACAAAATCACTTCTTAAAAGAGACTCTTTTAGATATGTCAAGTACAATGTGTGTACTTTTGATCCTGATTGGAACAAACAACTTCTCCAAACCTTAGTTTTTTTTCTCATCACTAAGACAGGAGTAACACACACTTTCAGTGGTTTAAATTCTACCCAATGGCATTCAAATCCATAAAGCTCTGATCCCTAACTAGCTTAAATTAAGCTTTCAAAATACATTCTTTAGGGCTGGGAACGTGGCTCAGTGGTAGTGTGCTTGCTTAGCATGCATGAAGCCCTGGGTTCGAGTCCTCATTACCACACAAACAGAAAAAGCTCCAGTGACGCTGAGGCTCAAGTGGTAAAGTGCTAGCCTTGAACAAAAGAAGCTCAGGGACAGTGCCCAGCCCCTGAGTTCAAGTTCCATGACTGGCCAAAAAAAAAACAAACATTCTTTATAGGCCAGGAGTAGTGGTTCACATCTGTAATTCCAGCACTCAGGATGCTCAGGCAGGAGAGTCATGAATTTGAGGCCAGCCTGTATATAGAATGAGGCCCTGTCAAGGCCTGCTGTTTCTTCAGACAGAAAAATATAAATTAGCAAAGCAGAGACAAGTAAGATGAATATATCATAGCTGTTGTTTGTTGAGAAGCCAGAGAAAGAATATGGACTTGGAAGGTGAAGACACTACAAAAGTAATTAAAATCTCAGAGAGAACCTAAGAGTTTTGGAGTAAAAAGTTTAACAAATTCTTTACAAGATTCAGAGATTTCTAGAAACCTTGGCAATTCTTGTCTTTGTGGGAAGTTTTCCTGAGTTGGTTTGGCAGCAGGAACCCTGTGGTCTGGCTCAGTGCTCTGTTGATTCCCACAGGCTCATGAGAACTTGTCAGCTATTCTACTAATCCCAATCTATGAAGCCTCTGTATTCAGTTGTTTAAATGTTTATGTGTACAAGTCAGTTTAGATTTCAAGGAAATTGTGGGGTTTTTCCATTGTTCTCTATTTCATTCTCTTTCTTAAAAAATTCTTTTCCATCTGTATGTAGTATGTTTATGTTCATCTTTTCTTTTTCTTTTTTTGGTCAGTAGTGGGGCTTGAACTCTGGCTTGGGCACTTTCCCTGAACTCTTCAGCTCAAGGCGAGCGCTCTACCACTTGAACCACAGCACCACTTCCTGTTTTCTAGTTGTTTATTGGAGATAAAAGTCTCACGGAGTTTCCTGCCTGGGATGGCTTTGAACTGTGATCCTCAGATCTCAGCCTCCTGAGTAGCTAGGATTACAAGCATGAGCCACCAGCATCCGGCTCATCTTTTCTAATTTTTAAAAATGAGTTGGGAGTTTAATTTTAGATATCTTTTCTAATATATGTACATATATATATTTAATGTAATAAATTCCTCTCCAAATACTGATTTCACTATAATCTATAAATTTGGGAAACATGTATATTCATTTTCATTCAGTTATTTCTCTTTTTTTTTTTTCCTTGAGCTTCAAGTTGGAAAGTTTCTACTGATATATCTTCAAGTTTACTGATTCTTTCCTCAGTTGTGTCCAATGGGCATTCTTTCTATCAGACTGTTCTTAATTTATAGCATTATAAGGATTCCTATTTAGAGTTTTCTTCTCTCTGCTTATACAACCCACCTGTGTGTACATGTTGTCTTTTTTTCTTAGCAAATGAATCAGTTACTTTAAAATCTCAATATAATTCCAAAATCTCTGCCACATCCCAGTCTGGTCTGATACCCACTTCAGACTAAGATTTGCCACTTTGCCTGCATGCTCTGGTACTGTTGAAAGCCAGGACAATATACTATTAATAGGAACTGAGGTAAACAGGTCTTTGACATGAGGTTTTATTTTTAATCTGCCTATGAATTGTCTTTAATGTGTACTGTAGGTGAGGGATATGTGCCATTTCCTCTAGTGTCCTGGTTTTTGTTTCCCTTGTCACTTTTCAATTTTCCTAGAAATGTGGGTCTTGTTGTTGTTGTTGTTGTTGGGGCAGGGAGAAGGATGGGGTGGGTACTGGGTTTAGACTCAGAACCTCTTGATTGTTCTCTACTACTTGAGCTATGCCCTAAGCAATGTTTTTCTTTAGTTATTTTTCAATAGTCTTACTTTTTTGTTTTTGTTTTTCCCAAGCCAGCCTTGAACCAGAATCTTATCTCTGCCTCCTGAATAGCTAAGACATTGGCCACCATATTTGATTTCCTTCAATAATTCCTTTTTAAAAAAGACTTTTTAATAGCATATGTTCGTTGTACAGGGGAATTTCATTGTGATAATTTAATTAGTATACGCAATGTACTCAAAATTACCCTTTCTCTCCCTCTCCTTCATCCCCTATCCCCTCTTCATAAAAGTTTTAACAGGTTTCATGGACCTATTTTCATACATGCATATAAAGAGAGCACTGTGACCATATTCACCCTCTCAATTAGCCCTCTGTACGCCTGCTGGTATAAGTCCTCCAGCAGAGCCTGCTTGACTTTCTTCTCATTCATTTTTTAGTGTATATTAATTGTATAAAGGGCATGTGCATGTATTATAATTTAGTCAGATGAACCCGTCTCCCTTTCCCAGTTCCCCTCACCTTTCAATGAGTTTCTTTATGCTTTCTCCATACACTGTCAACTTAAGAGTCTCTGTGTCGCAGCTCTCTAAGTTACAATTCAGTAAATATACTAGAGCCCTGTGGATGTAAGGATCAGGTATTGGAGAAAAAAAATCATTCTATAATCTCATTATACCTCTGTTTTATTGAGTCAAAGTCTGAGTTGTAGCCTTCAGAAGAATTCCTTAGTTCCCCACCTCCATCTATTACCTGTCTATGTTTTGTGCTGGTACTGGGCTTGAACTTGGGGCCTGGGTGCTGTCCCTTAGCTTTTTTGCTCAAGGTTGGCACTCTACCACTTGAGCCACATCTTCACTTCAGCCTTTTGGTAGTCAAATGGAGATAAGAGTCTTGGATTTTTCTATCTGGGCTAGCTTTGAACCAAGATCCTCATATCTCAGCCTCCTGAGTAGTTAGGATAACAGGTATGAGCTACTAGCACCCAGCCCCTCTTCTACTTTGTGACACATGAAGACTACAGATGGGCAGAAGTAGTTAACTGCTCATCTTCCAGGTCAGATAAAGCTCTATATAAAGTAACTGTCTCTTGAGGAAATAACATTTGTTCATGATGAGAGAACTCTACAGGTATGTTTTTATAGGTATTCTGTAGGTATATATGTTATGTACGTGTATCTACACACCTATATATACTCTATAGGGGTGTGCATGTGTGTGTATACACCTATATCCCCACATATACTCTCTTTAGGTGTGTGGGGGGATAGGTAAGTAGGTATATACTCTATAGGTTTTATTGTGGGTTTTGAACTCACAGCTGTGGTGCTATCCCTGTGCTTTATCCACTCAAGGCTAATGCTCTACCACTTGAGCCACAGCTCCACTTCTGGCCTTTTTTTTCTTTTTTTTTTTTTTGGGGGGGGGGGTGGTGGTTAGTTGGAGATTAGAGTCTCCTAGACTTTCCTGCCCAGGCTGGTTTTGAACCATAATCTTTAGTCTCAGCCTCCTTAGGTAGCTAGGTTTAGAGATATGCACCATTAGCAACTGGCTATAGGCATATTTTTAAATGATTACTTCTCCCATTTCCCTGGTCAAGCCTCAAAAAAAGGCTTGCTTTCTTTTTTTGTGTTACTTTAATTGGAACTCAGGGCCTCCCACTTGCTACATGAGTTACAACTGAATCACACCTAAGAGCCTCATAGACTGCTCTGCCATGATCCTAAGATCTTAGATCTCAAGGGAGTAGGCAGAATGAATTACAGGCCTGAGCCACCAGCACCCAGGTTTGGCAGGGGCTGGGGGGGAGTAGGAGGTGTGTGTGTTTTAAGGTGCTGGGGATAGAACCAAGAGCCTCACACATGCTAGGCAAGCACATCAGCCCTTACCTGCTATCTTGGTATTGAACTACAGCAGAGATTATGGAAACCAGACAATCTCTAATCCCCCATAAAATCCCACATGGAAGCCCACTTGAAAACAAATAATATGTAGTAGAATGTTAGCCTGGTTAATAGTCCCTGAGTGCAAACCCAATACTACTTTACAAAGGAAGAAGATCTGAGTGTGGTGGTATTTTACTGTAATTCCTGACTGAGGCAGAAAGGTGGAAAGTTTCAGGCAAGCCTGGACTGCTAGAGACACTATCTTAAGAAGTTAAAAAAAAAAAAAATCAAGAGGAGAAATTCTGAGGACCTTGACTCTAGAGTGGTAGTGAAAAGACGGGGCAGTTTTACATGAGATGAAGACTAACCTGGTAGGATCTACTTCAAAGCTAACATGTTGCCAATCAGAGGATGTGATAACAATTCTTAATAAAGGATCCAGGAGTTTTTGCAGATAAGTAGCACCATATACCTAAAGAAATGTACAATTAGGAATTTACTATGCCAGTTCCATATATGTTGTATTTTTTAAAAAGTTACTTGCATGTACATTACATACACTGGTTACTGACTGACAAATCTTAGCACACACACAAAATCAATGACACAAACCTTAAAACAAAATGTCATTATTTTACTGGCCAAGCTGTTGCCTCGGAAAAGAGTCTGCATAGAATCTGCCAATTCTACTTCCTTAGAAAACATATTCCAGAGAAGTTGGTAGAGTAAATGTCGAGAATCAAACAGAGTAACTAGAACTCGAGCTAGTTCATCCTGAAAACAAAACAAAATGTTGTTAGTGTGAACAATTTTACTGTTTTATTTCTGTTTTCTGTGTGTGGAAGTGCAGGGGGGTTTGTATTAGGGCTGCTTAATTGGAGATAGAACCTCTGATTTTTCTACTTGGACTGGCTTTTAACTTCAATCCTCAGATCTCAGCCTCCTGAGTAGCTGGAATTACAGGTGTGAGCCACTGGCTCTTGTTTTCTTAATCAGGAATTTAAAGATTGATTAAAAACCAAATCTTAAGTTCACAGCCACCTGCTAAATCAAGGTAAATGATGACTGTTTCCCCTAGGACTTGCCTGAATACATTCTTTTATAATAGGTGACTCTTTATATACATTTACAATAGTTGTTAATTCTAAGGATAAAGATTAAGAGGCAAGAGAGCCTAGGCTTTACAAGAGATAAGACTCCAGGATTCAACTCGAATAACACAGAATGAAAGTATACATACAAAGTGTAATATTAAAGTGGTGAATTTGATTTGCAGAGGCAATGAACTGATCATTTTCTTAAGCAAATCACTGAGCAGAAATAAGCCTAGTGATAAGAAATGCATTCTTCTCATACTGTCAGGAGAACTTAGTACAGAACACAGACTAGGCATGAAAAAACATAAATGGAAAAATTGCAATTTTTTAAAAATCAGGAAGAAAAGTACTTGGCCTTAGCATTCAAAACCCAGAGATCAAACAAATGTACAAAGTTGGAAGGGTAGGCATGAAGGCTGAAATTTCATCTATTACTTACAAGATAACCATTATATATATTTATGTTTTCGGTACACTCAGAAGGATCTTCTAGTAAACTACTGTTTTTCTTAAGCTAGGAGATCAAGAGAGAACAGAGATAATCATAAGAAGATGTCTGCCAGGCTCAGGTAGTTCACGCCTGTAATCCCAGCTACTCAGGAGGCTGAGATCTGAGGATCATGGTTCAAAGCCAGCCTGAGCAGGAAAGTCCATGTGACTCTTATCTCCAATAAACCACCAGAAAACCAGAGGCGGTGCTGTTGCTCAAGTGGTAGAGTGCTTGCCTTGAGCTGAAGAGCTGCAGGACAGCACCCAGGCCCAGAGTTCAAGCCCCACAACTGACCATTAAAAAAAAAAAAAAAAAAAGATGTTCCAACTCTAAAGCTGAAATGATAACAAGGATTGTGTCCATAGCAATTAAGTTGGCCTGCTGGCCAACTCTCAGGTTTACAATAACCTGATATTTGAATAAAGGAAAATGTTTAAGAATCCTAACTACAAATAATTTAGAAGTCAGAGAACTATAAGGATCCAATATTCTAATCTGTTCCTTATAGTTACATAACTAATATTTTACAACTCTACTCTCCATTATGAAATTCAGTAAAATTATAATAATATAGTTATAAAATAGAAGCCATTGGGTGAGGGGAACAGCTCAACGGTGGTAGGCTTGCCTTGAAGGCAAAAAAACCTATGGATTCAATCATGAAACCAGAAAAAAAGGGAGGGAGGGCAGGCATTTTTAGATTATGCTACATGTCCCTCTGCTATAATCCACCCCCCCTCCAAATCCTGAAAACTCTAAGCAACTGAATTTAAAAATATTTACAAAGCACAATTCAAAATTTAAATGCTATTTTATAATCCATTTTTCTTTAAAATACAGCTGTAACGGACATGGCCTAATATAACATTGTTCTCAAAATAGTCATTTAAATGAATGGAGATTCAACTCTGGCAGAGTTAAATCTACCTAGCATGCATCAATCCTTGAGTTCAACCCCTAACACCAAAATTAAAAAGTCATTAAAGTAAGGCATAATTGCACATTACTGTAATCCTAGCACTAGGGAGGCAGAAGCAGGACTCTTAAGTATGAGGCCAACCAGGGTGACCTTGTTTCAAAAATAATGATTATTTATTTATTTATGGCCAGTACTCTGGGCCTGTGTGTTGTCCTTCAGCTCAAGGCTCAAGGCTAGCACTCTACCACTTGAGTCACAGAGCCACTTCCAGCTTTTTCTGCTTAAGTAGTACTGAGGAATGGAACCCAGGGCCTCATGCATGCAAGGCAAGCACTCTACCACTGATCCACCTTCCCAGCCCCAAATTAATGATTTTTTTTTAAAAGTCATATAATATAAGCCAGGCACCAGGGGCTCTCGTCTGTAAATCTAGCTACTCAGGAAGCTAAGCTCTGAGGATCAGGGTTTGTAGCCAGAAGGGGCAGGAAAATCTATGAGATTCTTATCTCCAATTAAGCACTAAAGAGTGGGAAATGGAGCTATGGCTCAAGTGGTAAAGTACTAGCCTGAAGCAAAAAAAAAGAAGAACACTGAATAACAGTGCCTAGAAGTAGCACACACACACAAAAAGTCATTTAATACGTAACACAAAAATTATTCAGTATAATAAAAAAAACTAGAGCTTCTTAGACTTAATTTGGGTTTTGTTGTTGTTTTGCGTTTTGGTGGTGTTGGGAATCAAATCCTGGGCAAGTACATGCCACTGAGCTACATCCCCATCCCTTGACTCTTTATTGAGAAAACTACTGAATAATTTTAGCGTTAATTAGATGTAGATGTTAAGAAAATAATTCAGAATAGTATCTTTTTCTAAGACATATGAAGATTTGAGAACTTATTTTAGACTGCGAGAAGATTTCACTATTTCAGGACATTGCTAATCAAGGGTTATATGTTTTCAGATATGTAAGTTCTAGAAAATTTTGGCACAATATTGCTTTCATTAAAACTATTATTGTGTACATATAAAATCAGTTAGTAGAATAGAGATCATGTTAAATGTTCTTACTAAAATCAAATTTAATCAAAATAATCAAAACAAGTATTTAGACAGCAGTAGCAGTGCTCTAAGACAAATAAATATAACATACTTGAGGAACACAAAGTTTAGTAAACAATAAGTAAAATGGCATTAGATAAAGAGATGAGTCTGGGCATAGCCCTGTAGGCCAGGACAGATTTTGAATTTTATTTTAATGTAAAATAAGGTCCTATAGCTTTTAAGGAAACAAAACAACAGGCTAGAAGTTAGTATTATGGTTAGTATTATGAAGTCATTTCTTGTAAGATAAGTTAAATAGCTTTTTAGCACAGAAAGGAACAGAAAATTTCAGAAATACTATTAAGAATGATGTAGAGTTTCAGGATATTCTTTTCATTAAATTAAGAGAATGGCCAGGGCGCCGGTGGCTCACGCCTGTAATCCTAGCTACTCAGGAGGCTGAGATCTGAGGATCACGGTTCAAAGCTAGCCCGGGCAGGTAAGTCCATGAGACTCTTATCTCCAATAAACCACTCGAAAACCAGAAGTGGCGCTGTGGCTCAAGTGGTAGAATGCTCAGCTTAAGCTGAAGAGCGCAGGGACAGCACCCAAACCCAGAGTTCAAGCCCCACCACCAACCAAAAAAAAGAGAATGATCAAATAGTAAGAAATATCTTTGGGGCTGGGAAGTTGGCTCAGTGGTAGAGCACTTGTCTTGCATGCCTGAGGCCCTGGGTTCGATTCCTCAGCACCACATAAGCAAAAAGAAAAAAGCCGGAAGTGGCGCTGTGGCTCAAGTGGTAGAGT